GTGGGAATAATTTCTACTCCCATCTTATTTCATTAGTAAGAAGTAAGTTCCACTCGGACAGCTTCTTCTTAAAAAAATGCTGCTTTGTGGTACAGACACCCAACAGGATGTTTTTTTTTTCCAATCACGACAATCTTGACCTCTTCGAGTCGAGGGTTAACAGCTATATTCATTTCTTGGCATTTTTACGGTTCGGTTAGGTTTGTTTTGTTTTACGGCATATCAACCTTAATGGGTTATTTAATTGTTATGGCCAAGTAATAACAAAACACAGGTTTGCAGATATATCGTATATTAAACAGTGCGTACACCAGAAGAGTGTTGCACGACTAGCGAATGTGTATCGAATGGCACAGCGTTCAATCAGTTCACTGTTTACCGTTCCTTCTCTCCTACTAAATTTATAGTAGGCGGAAGTGTTTAACATAGACTCTTAGAGGGAGGACACCACAGTATTAATGCTACAATATTTAATTGCTGGTAATATTTTTTCAAAAATGTATTGCTGGTAATATTCTTTTACTTTCAAAAATGTACTTCCGGTAATAATTTTTCTAAAAAAAGGATTGCTGTTATATTAAAGCCTATTTTTATACTTTCATAGTGTTTTGACCCCTTTTTTGGGTGTTAACAATTTCCCCATAGCTGTAACTCTGACAGGTGCTACCACCACGGGTCAGGGTGGACAGGGGAACATCAGCAATTAAGAGGTGATTTCACGCTCCTCAAAAACATTATGATATTAGACAATTATTTTAAGATATTTTTTATGTTTATACGTGCTTTTTATAGATTCAAATATTTAAGTAAATGCTCTGTTTATAATAAACAGTATTAACAACATTTACCGGCCTGAATGTTCGAGAAATTTTTATAGAAAATATGCGTCCTCCGACCGGACGCTCTGTGAACCGAAACGCTTCTCTGTGGCTCAATCGGTAAAAGCACGTTAGGCTAAATGGTGGTTCCGTATAGGATACAGGTTCGATTCCTATCGGAGGAAGCATATTTTCTATGAAAATTTCTCGAAATTTCAGGCCGGTAAATGTTGCTAGTACTCTTTATTATAAACAGAGCATTTACTTAAATCTATGAAAAGAACGTATAAATATAAAAAATGTCTTTATATATATATATATATATATATATATATATATATGTGCGTGTGTGTGTGTGTGTGTGTGTGTGTGTATTCTTTCTTAATGGCTCCCAAATGGTAGTTGTATCTATACTAAGTTTAGTTAGGAGTCTATTATAGACTATATAAGCCTGCAAGTCAGCAGCCTGCAACAGGTGCATTTGTATGGGAGTTTTTTGTTCTAAAACCTGTTCAAGTCTCAGTTTAACCATTATCTCCCTCCCCTGTCTGTATAAACTGCCTCTTAACGTAACCCTCTACCACGAGTGGCCTCTGGACCTTATTACACAGTGAACCTTATTGTAAATTAAAAAGCCCTACATAACTTGATAGCTCTTTCACCGCCAATGTTTTGTTTGGTGACGTAAGTCGACCATGAATAAAACAATTACAATTCTACCCTAACTAAATAGCGCCAATGACAAACAGGTATTAGACGAGGAGGAGAACATTCGGTTAAGGTCCGAAATTTCCAAAAGGTGGACGTTACGTAATCTTTCATCCTGTGGTTCTGAAGGAACTGATTCTCTGTTGTCCCGATGAGAGTAATGACCCAATCTTAAGTATATGCTGCCAGAAAGGAAGTAAAAATAAATGAAGAAACTTAAACCTATCCGATATAATGGACAGGTTATATATTTACATTGACATTATTTTATGAAAATGCTGAATGGAGTGTGTTTCTTTTTTAATCAAATTTTGGATAAAGTAAAGAACGAAAATAAAAGTAATACATTTTTCTGTTTCTATTACTGCTATCATGTGAGGATTTCATTTTAGAGACTTAATTTTCTTTAAGTGTTCAAGACTCTAATATATCCTGCCTGTACTGTCCAATAAATAAACACTTGTCATCAAATTTCCCCCTCTTTCAGCAGTATACGCAATGTGCAAGCATGGAAATAGTTAGGTTTACTCTTCTGAAAATGCCATATCCTTTCAGGAGTAATTTACTTTACTAACACTCGGATAAATGTCTTGATCTTTGCTGCTACTATGGCAATAATTTATACGTTGCAGCATCCGGCCTTCTTTAAAGACGTTGGATATGATGGCTCGCTATAGTTCCACTTTATTCAATATATAGGTTGCAGATTGTTAACAGATTGTTTTCAATCGGTGAGTTTCATGACATAGCAAAACTTGAGTTATTAAATGTCGAAATCGGTTCTTTTTTAAACCTGAGTCTATAGGTAAACATTGTCTGATTTCATACTTGAGTCAATACGTAAACGTTGGTCGGGTATATACTTGAGTCAATAGATAAATATTGCTTGGATTTAAATTCCGCCTATAGGTAAATATAGTTCGGAATTATACTTGAACTTATAGGTCGGGTTTATACTTTAGTCTATAGTAAACATTAGTTGAGTTTATACTTAAGTCAAGAGATAAACACAGTTCCAGTTCATTGTTGATTCTAAAGGTAAACATTGGCGACACTTAAATTTTAGTTTATATTTAAACATTGTTCGTGTTAATTCATTGGTATGTCACTAAAAGTTGACCAGGATTATACTTGAGACGGTAACATTGGTTGAGTTTATACTTGAGTGGATAGTTAAATTTTGGTCAGGTTATACTTGAGTCTATAGGTAAAAAACAGTTGTGTTCATATTTCAGCATATAGGGAAATATTGATCAGGTTATACTTGAGTCGATAGTTAAAGAATCGTCGTGTTCATATTTGAGCCTATAGTTAATATTGGTAGTTTCAGTTCATAGATAAACAATAGTCACGTTCACACTTGAAACTTTAGTTAAAAATAAGTTTACACTTGAGATGATAGGCAAAAATTGGACATGTTATATCTGAGTCCATATGTAAATATTGGTTTGTTATATATTTAAGCCAATAGGTAAACATTGGTTAACATTATTCTGAGCCTCGACTCAGAAGATAGCTACAGACGATGCAGAGAACGTCATCTAGGGCCCCGCTGCCAGAGAAATATTCTTGTTAGGGATGAACTCTAATTAAGAAGCTACAAAGTGTCATTGTACTATTAGAATATTCATAGGTTATGCAGTCATTACTTGCTTGTAATTACGGTAATTTTGACCAACGATTACCTTTTGGTCTTATTTGGATAGGACTCCCTCGTGGTTAACAAATTGGTCTTGTAATTTAGTACTATTATATAGTTAGTACATAAGTGCATACTGTGTGGATAATGCTTTCTCTTGTATCAAAACTAACCACGAGGCTTTTTAACGGGTTTTTACCTATACAGTGAGGCAATCCGAACGGAAGCGGAAGTCACATCAGGATTTCTTCTGGAACGACGCGTTGCTTATTTATATAGACCACGCTGTGTTGGTGGCGGAAGCAGAAGTAAATCTCCAGGAACTCTTAGACAAATTAGCAAAAAAATTAGAAATTGTAAGAAGATAGAATGTAGGATTTTTTTCGAATGATATAGCGTCCAAAATGCTACCTACGAATTAGAAACTTCAAAATTAAGTAAGTATAGAAATTTTAATATGCTGGAAGTATTTACACAGGTAAAGGAAAATGATACAGAAAGGGGTACTAGAATAGTAAAAGATGCCTTACAAAAGCTAAGCAAAGAAATAACAGACGAGAAAATAGCGTTACAAAACAAAGAAAAAAAGTGAGTTGAAATGATATGTCATATCAATTCTTCAATATGACAGGGAATGCTTGATAATTTCCTTACAGATGAGAAGGAAACGGGGTAAATTCTTCTACGGAAGGATGATGGGAATACTAGAAAACCAGACAGTTGAAATTGCTGGGCCAACTATTGAGGGTAAAGAGCTAAGAGAATTTGACACTCACAGGACATATGGACGGCAAGATGGACAGAGGGAAACATTGAGTAATCGACCTAACACGCTTGTGTAAATAGATGGCAAGACAGAAAAGGGGAAATATCTCGAAGGGGCAAATACTGCCTAGATTTATAAAAGACTGGAAGTTGTGGAGAGACATGGTCGTACACATCCTAAAGAGACACTGCATATAAAAATATGAGATCACTTACCTGCAGTTCCCAAAGGTTTTTGCCATTTTTTTCTGTGTACTGCGTCCATTTGGGATGTGGGCTATAGTGGCTATCCACGACTTTTTACCTTTTATAGCTCTATGCTATAATCACTATCAATCCCAAGAAGTTCCGGGTTGCTTTCTCCACCGTGTTTTTTTTATTGAGATACCAATTCAAATTAGCTTCGGCCTTTCGATAGGTGATATTTTTCATCCTACAAGATTATTAACGACACTCTTTGAAGAAGTAGACTGGGAAAGCAGACCATTCTCCAGAAGTTTCAAAAGTTTATTTTTCCGTCTTCGTTAAAAGAAAGGTTTACCCTGAGAATGTTGTGTGTTGATTAATAAAAAAAAAGAAAATATGTCCATCTAACATTAAATATCTTCGTAATCCAATTTCATGCATGCATGCATGCATCTATCTATCTATCTATCTATCTATCTATCTCAGTCTGTTTATCTATCTATTTTAGTGTTAATTTCTGCCTATCTATCTATCTATCTATCTATCTATCTATCTATCTATATATATATATATATATATATATATATATATATATATGTGTGTGTGTGTGTGTGTGTGTGTGTGCGTGTGTGCAGATATGTAGAAAAATAGGAAAGAATACGTTAAGTAAATAACCTGGAGTTATTTAGTATTTTTGTTTTTATTTTTTAAAACAGTGCACCATACAGAAGTAGAGCTTAAATTATAATTATTTTTAAAAAAATATTTTTTTTTGCGAAGGAATCATATTTTTTAAAAAAATAATTAAAATATATATATATATATAGATTTTAATCTTTACACATATATATTAATATTTATAATATAATTATATATATATGTATATGTATATATATCTGTCTACTTATGTTCATATCTATCTATCTATCTATCTATCTATCTATCTATCTATCTATCTATCTATCTATCTAATTCTGTTGATATCTATCTATATTCTGATTATATCTATATCTATCTATCTATCTATCTATCTATCTATAAGTTTGTTCATATTTATCTATCTATCTTGGTCTGTTCATATTTATATCTTGGTCTGTTCATCTATCTATCTATCTATCTATCTATCTATCTATCTATCTATCTATCTATCTATCTATCTATCTTGGTCTGTTCATATCTATCTATCTATCTATCTATCTATCTATCTATTAGATCCCATAAATTCGATTGGTGAATAAATAGTAACTGCGCCAGGCATTCTAAGGAAGCTAGCAATTTCATTCTTCATGCCTATCGATCATAAATCGCTCCTAAATGAGAGGCCACTATAAATGCAAGGTTCGATAACAGATTTCCTTAGCATTCCTCTTCCTCTTCAACCGTCTGGCCTAAGAAGGATGACAGACGGGTCAGCTCTTTCTATCTAATCCCACATAGCAATCAATACACAATCACTACTACACCCTCTCACTCACTCACTCACTCACTCACTCACTCACTCACACTCTCTTTTTTCTCTCTTTCTATCTTTTGAGGGGAACAAACTTTCCCGCATTCGTCATAATGTTTTTTTATTGTTTGGTAAATGCAAATATGGAACTTCTTAGCCGCTTTTCATCGCCATGGAAATAGTAAACGCGTTCGTCAGGTCAAACGTTCCACTTAATCTCTTGTTTTGCTTAATTGCCTGAAGACTAGGTATGTGTGGTTGGCTGGATATGAGGGCCGGTGTAATCCCGGACAATAAGATCTTTCTTTTCTAAAATTCTGGCCACAATATAAAGAAACTCAGAAAATGTGAGTTTGAGGACTTTTCAGCATACCTTGAGAAAACACTATCTATCTATCTATCTATCTATCTATCTATCTATCTATCTATCTATCTATCTATCTATGTGTGTGTGTGTGTGTGTGTGTGTGTGTGTATTCAGTCGTATGGATATGAGTATGTAACCATGGGTTTCACGCTTTTGCGATCATCAAACAAAATCGTGAAACCCAGGGTTACACACGTATATCCATACGACTGAATATGTTATCTATCACTGATATTGAGCGCTTTCCAATAAGTACCGCTCATATATAATATATATATATATATATATATATATATATAGTTGAATAATACATTTCAGATGCACCAGGGGTGGTCTACAGTGACGCACTGTCTTCATCGCCAATTTCGGGTTTTGCATCATATCGGCTCAAACAGCAACTCCGACCAGATTCCAAAATGGTCAGGCCGCCTACTTGATACCGCCGTGCTACGCACCTCGGCATTGCAAAAAAAAAAAAAAAAATTCAGATATGGCTAGGAGTACCACCGTTCTTATTGACATACGTCAGTCAACATCAGCCGATGAAATAAAGTGTTTTCACCCACACCTCCTATATAGTCTTGTTTTTTGCTCCATCCGGTTTTGATATATATATATATATATATATATATATATATATATATATATATATATATATATCATGATGTGGATTAAGTCTGACAGTTATTTAATATGTTTTCTGTTTATTCCTTATTTTTATAGATATAATTTATTTAAGTAAATGCCCTGTTTTTTTTTAATTAAACATTATGAATTACATTTACCTGCCTGAATGTTCGAGAAATTTCGTAGAAAATATGTGCCCTCCGACAAGCATCGAAGCTGTAACCCACATGGGAAACGTCATTTGATCTGACGTGGTGGTAGTCATTCAGCCACAAAGAACTTTGCTAACCAGACGCTTCTTTAGATAGAATATATGTAAATCTAAATAAAATACAGTGGGCATTGAGTTCAAAACCCTACAGCCACAGCAATGGCCATTGATTTAAGCATGAGGCATAGTGTAGCTTTTAAGAAGATATATTTAGTCTAACTTTATTGCTTTCATATTTTTGAAACGCGTTTCAACTTCTAAAACGACTTCATCAGACTAAAATAATGTTCTTAAGCAAACATGGAATCATACCAACCTCAACGCGTAAAAGAATCTTCGTCATCTGTACTTTCCATTGCAAAGACTTTTAAAAAGTGACGCAAGACCTTTTTACTCAAACGAAGAAACCAAACCTTAATAATATTATGAACAGGGCCAAAATGTACTGGCCGTATTTGTAAATCACATATAAGTTTATTTTCAGTAAATGTCATACCGTCTACAACAGCATGGTAGCATAGCAAGAAATAATTCTGGAAAATGGCTGACATTTCTAAATTTTTTCACCGTTATTTTGATGACTCTTGAACGGACTTTCAAGATGGAAGCCAGAGTATGAATGTTGGCACCATTACAGAAGACTTAAACCATTGCTCAGATGGAAAGTCAGTGGGACTGACACAAAATTAGTTTAACATGTTCTTTTCTGAATAACTCAAAAGATTTTCCAGTGATTCTTACGAAAAATAGTGTCAAGGTGGCTAAATGTTATATGAAAACCTGGAAAAAGGGAACTCAATTATTATTATTTTTTTTAAATATTAGACATTTTGTGGGATGGACAGTTTTGCTGTTACACGATTTGGACAATTTTGCTGTTACCTCGGTATAAATACATGCATATATATATATATATATATATATATATATATATATATATATATATATATATATATATATATATATATATGAAGGTGTGAGTTTTCGATTTGATGAATGTATATGTGCACGTCTGTGTGTTTTGTAATTGTCTTTGTTTTAGTCATTGTCCTGTCGTAAGATACTGAGTCGTTCTTAGACAAATAACGGCCATCTCGTCTCTCCACTGGGTCCCAGCAACCAAATGCAGCTGCATAAAACTGATCCTAAACCGCGCGTCCCATCCCTATTTCCATCGCTTCGTCGCGTATACTTGTCTGATTGTTTTGTTACAAAGTAAATTTGACTACTTCTTAAAGCAGACACTCAACCCTTTGACCGTCTTTCTCACCTAATCCTTCACCAGTAAAAAAAAAAGTAGAAAAGATTCGATCTAAAGACAGACCTTGGTCATTGATTATCAGCTTTTCAATTATGATTAACTTTTATTCCATTGACATTTGTGACACTTCGGATGCCAGGTTACTATTCATTGGTAGCTGTTTGCCACCTGGTGTAGGGCAGTCGTTTAATCACATTGGGGCCAGAGGTTGAATCTATTTCCATGAAATAGCAACAACAATAATAATCGATGTATTATAATCGGAATTCAGGAAAACCAATTTTGTCTGGATATTCTTTATAAACACTTAAAATCAGAAAGAGAGGAGGGAAGAAAAGCTGATAAGGATGTAAAACGAAGAAATGTTAAAGAAAAGCGAAAAGAAAGGAAGAAAGCAATAGAAATTGTTATGGTCCAATTCCTTGTACCACGGTGGTAGTCCAAGGTAGAACCAATAAAGAACTCGAACACGCATATGGAATAACACAGATATATTACAAACAGGAATATATACAGAGAAGTAGAAAGTGTTAGTACGAACAATCAGGTTTAGTAGGGAGAACAATGTAGTCTCGACCAGTATCACTATTCCAATGTCTTGTAGTAATTATTGTTGTTAACTGAATAGTTAAAATTAAAAAACGAATACATTTATATAGCAGGTTTTTTTTTTCTCGAAAGGCAATTTGCTCGAAACCTGTGGTTAAAAAAAAATAAAACACGTGCTAAGCATTTCCCTTTTTTGCACATTTCACATTTCCAGTAAATCTTATTGTTCATTGTTTTGTCCTTAATATATATATATCCATCCAAACACAACTTCTTCTTTCCTTTTTCGCTCTCAACAAAAGTTATGTCCATCATTAGTGTTCGAGAGCTCCAAAACTACTGAAATAGAAATAGAAAACAAATACAGAAAAAAAAAATCAGGACTGTTAAAGTTGAGTGTTGTGGCTCCTTTTATATCCAGCTTCGTTGACGTGTCGTGAGACGGCGCAGTTTATGTGGTGCTTCGAGCTTCGAAATTATTTCGAGGAATCTGCCTTTCGAGCAATTGATAGTTCGAGAAATTATTTTTCGAGCAATTGATTTTGAGCAATTTACCTAGATCCGGTGGGTAAATATTATATAATTTCGCGCATGTGCGTTGTTTGTTTTTGATTTTGTCGACTGCACAGTATAGTAGGGTCAGTTGGGCACCTTCTGTGAGAAAAAGAGCACCATGACACATTTCACTCAGCTAGAAATTTGGAAACAGCATGTTGTATCGCTTGGCATTCGCGCCAGAAGCTCCAATACAAATATTTCAAAGTGTTTGGGTGCCAATCTGAGGACGGTTCAGAGGCTTGAAAAGAGTTAGATGAGTCTAATGGTGATTACGAATGTACGGCAGCTCAGAAAAATTACTCTGATTGTTTTGATAAGAAAAGAACACACGAATTTGTTGGTGAGAGGCTCAACCTCAACACTGAGGCCAACATCAAATGCCTTGAGGTGGTAGTGCTGCCCTTGGTCAAGAGTGTGGCTTCTAGAAGATCCTGTCATGCAACAGGACTCGCTACCATGCCACACAAACAGGTGAACCCAGTCATGGTTGTCAGATAACTTCTGCGAGCATATCACCCCTTACATTTGGCCAACTTCAGACTGTAAACTCCTTGATTAATATGTGTGGGGTGCAGTTGAACAGAAGCCAAAAAACTCCTTGTCACACCAAAGATGAGCTGACGTCAAGTTTTATGACAGCATTCACCAACTTAAACAAGAAAACTGTCCGGAAGAGTTGCAAGAGATTCCAAAGTCGTCTGAAGGTCGTGGTTGAAACAATCGCCATTTTATTGAATAAATTTACTCTTTAGTATTTCAAGATATTTTTTGTGTAATTTTGGTAAATATATCTGTTAAAATGTCAGTGTTATTTTCATTTTTGAGTAATTTGGACGACAATTTATTCATCGCACCCTCTCTTTTTTTATATAACACACTACGTACCTTTTCTGCTATAAAGCAAACACATAAATAAAGTAAATGCTGTGTAGGCTTAAACCCAATACCAAGAGGTAAGTAACTACACAAATAACATACGAACTAAGACAGTGGTATTCAGAAGCGAGTCGCCTGCTGAATGCAAGACACTATATTATGCAGAATGCACATATACTACACTGACCGTTGGTCGGTAGCCAGGGAAATAGACTTTGATTTCAGTTAGATGATACAGATAATTTATTGATCCAAGAAAGAAACACTGAAGTTGACATATATTTTTGTTTAATTTTGTTTAGCGGCATATCAAATTTTATGGATTATTTAAAGCTAAATATTTTGAACGTATTTGATTCATCCAAGTATAGATAAAATGTATTGTTGGTCATTTTGTTATAAAGTGTATTCTTGTTAATTCTACTATAAAAAGTAGTGTTAATTCTACTATAAATATGTATTGCTGGTCAATTTACTATCCATATGTATTGCTGGTAATTTTACTATAAAAATGTATTTTTATACTTTCATAGTGTTTTATTTTTATTTGGGACTTCACTATTTGCCCATAGATTCGGTCAGGCTGGGGATTGGAACAGCAGCAATTAAGAGGTGGTCCCATGCCCCTCAAAACCTCCAATCTTTCGATCAAAAGTCTTGCTGCTGGATGTATTTTGTCGTCTTACCCAGGACTATACATGTATTTTGAATGGTACTATACATGTAATTTAATGGTACATTATATATATTTGTATGTTTCACACTCACGTGTGAAATTATATTTTAACAATTGTAATAACTTTGCAAAATATGCCGTCATTTTGTATATAGGTAAATTGGTTATTACATAGAGGAATACTGTTCAGTTGTACTATTGTTTTGATGTTATAATTGTGAATACGTGGGATGAGATACTTAAAAGTTTGAAGTTTAAGTACTTTGAGGTTGGTGCCTTGAAATATCGCCTATAAATAGACTGCAATCAGTTGTCGACTATA